GGAGATTGCCGGACACATAGACGTGTTAAGTGATGATAGCTGCGTACTGAACCCCCACGGAAAGGGGAGATTTGAGATTGCCAGACACATAGACGGGTTGCGTGGGGATAGCTGCTGGAACCCCACGGGTTGAGTGATGTTGGAGTGCCGGACACATAGACGCGTTGAATGAGGATAGACACATATTGAACCTCACAGGTTGTTTGTATTGGAGATTGCGAGACACCTAGACGTGTTGAGTGAGGATAGCTGCATACTGAAACCTCACAGATNAACCCCCACGGAAAGGGGAGATTTGAGATTGCCAGACACATAGACGGGTTGCGTGGGGATAGCTGCTGGAACCCCACGGGTTGAGTGATGTTGGAGTGCCGAACATGTCGACGCGTTGAATGAGGATAGACACATTGAACCTCACAGGTTATTTGTATTGGAGATTGCGAGTCACCTAGACGTGTTGAGTGAGGATAGCTGCATACTGAAACCTCACAGATGCATTGGTTTTTGCCAGACATGATAGATATACTTGTAGCAATGCCAAGCGGTTGTAGGATTGTTTCTCTCCCATCATTGGACTCTGCCGTCTGCCCCTCTGGCCCCTATCCTCCACTTCTACTAGCTAGACGACCCAACCGGGGTCACATAGGAGGGGGGGGTTGGACCCCCCTCCTGCGGTTGGTTCATGCCTGAGGTATTTTTATCGCGAGAAGGGTACAGCAATCCCTTCCCTCGCGACTTACGAAGTCGATTATGGTTGCGTTGTAAACGTAAGCTTTCGAGGAACAATAATCTTCTGCTGGTCTTTCGTGACTCTGAGATGTTTTCTCTCGCGNTGCAAGGTACCCCTGTTGTATACTGCGTCGCCCCCTCATGGTGGTATGGTGGTGCGTGCACGCGTGCGTTAAGTTCGTGTGAGTTCATGTAAGTTCGTGTGAGTTCATGTGAGTTCATGTGAAGGAGAAGTTTATGCAACAAACCCTACACGTCTTTCCTCCTTGGCGCGAGTTCGCCGAGTTGCCGACACCCTATTCAAGACACGTCTTGCGACAAGCTACAGTGCCGGAAAGTGTGAGACCGAATACGGGTGCTTTGAAAAAAAAATAACCTTCTTCAACGAATTGAGCGGAACCAAAATATTCGTGAGAAAGCTCTCGCCAGCAGCGATCGAATAAG